TATATATATATATTTGTTTGTTTGTGTGTGTTTGTGTTTTTGCATGGTTATACCATTTAAAAAGATAAATAATATTTCTAGAATTATGAATATGTGTTTTATAGATATAGTTTTTAGAAGTATAAATACATACTTTTACATTTTATATATTAATATGTATCTATACTTCTAAAAATATATTTATACTTTAAAAAAACATATATCAAAATACATATTCACACTTCTAAAAATATATGTATATACTTATATAAACATGTTTATGAATGAACAAGTTTTTTTTATTGATATGTATATTTTTAAATACATAAACATAAATATTTGTAGTTCTAAAAACATATTAATTTGTTTTTTTTACATCTTAAATGGTTTATCCAAGAAAAAAAAATCCACACACACACACACACACACACACACACACATATATATATATATATATATATATATAAAGAATTCACATTAAAAAATGTAAATACAATATTTAATTAAATTTTTTTCATTTATAAATATGATTTTTCTGCTTTAATACGTATAATATGAAAAAAAAATACATAGGGTAAAATTGTTAAAAATTTATAAACTTAAGGGTAAAAACGTAAAAAAACTGTAAACTTAAGGGTTTTTTTGCGAAGTTATATATAATGGTAACCTGTTATCATCGGTAAAAGGGTAAAATCAAACATTTTTTGGAAAATGTTAGGGTAAAAACGGACATAAAATTCAACTTTGGGCAAAACCGACAAAACCCCGAAAAAACTTGAGGGTTTTTATGACATTAGCCCCTTGGAAAACCCATAAGGGTTTTGAAGTGTATTTAAGGAGTAATCCGTAAGGACATATTTCGAGGACGAAATCTAATTTAGGTGGGGGAGAGTTCCAACACCCGTTTTCCCGATTTGATTAGTTTTAGGCTCAAGGATTTTGTAGATAAGGTTTGGGAAAAATCTTGTGCCACGGCATGGTAGAGTGTTTACCATGGCGTGGCCACGTCATCTAAATGAAGAGCGAGTTTGAGCATTGACCACGTTGTGGTCGAGTATTCACTACGACGTGGCAACGGCAAATTCCTAAACCCTAGAGTTCGGGCTTTGGCCCTTATTTAAGCAACATGTTGGCTATGGTTTCACCTCATTTTCAGCCTCCCTCTCCATAGAAGCAAACCATAGCCCCTATTTGTTAGTTTTGTAAGAATCTTGACATTTTGGTGTATTTAGAGGAAGGATCAAGGTGTTGAGGTGCAAGCAAGTTAGACCCTGTGGGTGTGCAACTTCCACTTAAGTTCTGGACCTTGGTAAGCATTCAAGACTCTACCTTTTTATTTCATTTCATTTGGATCTAGAAAACGAGCAAGTTTCCTAGTGTTATGTAACTCTTGAAAGATTGGAAGTGATAAATCTTGGTAAAATTGAGTGCTTAGCTAAGGGCTAGTTATGGTTTGGCTTTAGGTAGCTTGTGTTAGCCGTTCCCGTTTTTAAGGTTGCGTTTGAGCTTCTGCTATTTAGTTCAAGTGAGTTTTCTGACTGTGTTACTTATATCATGTGTTGTATGTGAGCTACCGATAGCTTGGGGTTGCTGATAACCCAGTTTATTGTATGTGAGCTGTTGATAGCTCGGGGTTGCTGATAAACCTATTTGCTCTATGTGAGTTGTTGATAACTTAGGGTTGCTGATAACCCAAATCGTTGTATTTGAGTTGCTGATAACTCAGGGCTACTGATAGTCCATAAGGCTACTGATAACCCATACCTGTTATATATGTTTTGTTGTGATGTGTTGTATATGATATTTTGGGGGACTCACTAAGCTTTGTGCTTACAGTTGTGGATTAAATATTTTCAGGTACATTATCAGTTCGTGGGGATGCGAATATGTAACTGTACACACACATCAATAGTTTTATGATTGGTGATTCTGCGATATTTTCGTTATAACTATGATTTATGGATTTCGATTTATGAACAAATGATTTTGTTTTGAATGTACCTTTACGAGAATGAATGTTTATGCCAGTTTTAAAATGAAACATTTATTCTTTAAATTGGTACGTTACATTAACTGTGTTCTTGAAATTTTAAACTTTGAGACTGTTTTCCACAAACTAAGCTTTGGATTTTTTTTTAAAATGTTATTTTCAAATAACCCATGTGAGGGGTGTTTCATAGGACGAGTCGGTGGGTTTACCGCTTTAGGTGAATTGCTTCACAAGTTCAACCATTTATCCATGACGACGAACTTCCATCTCATCTTGTAGCTTTACCTCTCTTTTAATACAGGCTTGCATCTCATCCTGTTCTTTCACGTCCCTTTCTAACATACTCTCCAATTCATTTACCTAAAAAATGTTTAAAACAATCATATATAATTAGTATAAAATAGAGAGAGAAATAACATCATATTTACCCTCATTAAACAATAAACATAATATTTATGTTTTTACCAATTATAGCAAGATACTTTATTTTTAATCCATAATAGAAATGTATAATTTACTATGTTTACCAATATAGGCAACGTACTTGGATGTTTGATCCATAATAGAAACATATTTACATATTTATGTAAGATGTTTACATTTTTATCCATTTTAGCAACGTATACTACATTTATATCCATAATACCAACAAACTTTACTTTTTTTTTGTACCAATATTACATTTTTTATCTATAATAGCGACATACAAATTTGTTTCTTTCCCTAATATATATTATATTGGGAATTTCATTTATTTTAGATAAAAACTCTTAATAATAAATACATAATTAAGGTAACGTATTCTAAAATCTTATACATTCTATAATTTCATTGAGGCGGTTGAATAGCCAGAAAGAAATCCCCCATGCAAAAACGATAATTTTAAAACGCGTCTTGACCAAAACATCCGTCAATGATATTATCTTTTAAAAAAACAACCCACAGTCTTTTTCACGTCCACTTTATAGATATGATCGATACACGCTAATACCAGCTGTTTTATGATCAAAACCTCGTCACCAACCTAACTTCACTAAATACTCCTCCACTCTCACCTTCGCCCCCACCTTCCTTCAATCTCCAAACAGTACACGCCCTATAAATACAATACAATTCATGCATCTTATCTTCAACTTATCAATAAGCAATTCCTCTGCATAAAATGTCTTTCTCTTACACGTCAAAGTTTTCGACTTTCCTTCTGCTCTCTATATTTCTAGGGAGCACTTCAATAGTCTCCGCTGATTTCAACAATGAGTTTGATATCACTTGGGGTGATGGCCGTGGTAAAATACTAAATGGCGAACTCTTAACTCTTTCCCTCGATAAATCATCTGGCTCTGGCTTTGAGTCAAGAAACGAGTACCTGTTTGGCAAAATCGATATGCAGCTGAAGCTGGTACCCGGCAACTCCGCAGGCACAGTCACTGCCTACTATGTAAGTTTCTTGCTATCTTTCATACTTTCTAGGCTGGGAAATAGTTTACTGAATATGAATGTTAATTATGTACTATGATTGTATTTGCAGTTGTCTTCAAAAGGATCGAACTGGGATGAGATCGACTTTGAGTTCCTGGGTAACTT